CCTCCCCTGCAAGCGGGCTCAGGAGGGTTACAACAACATATAAACTATGTAATACATATAAACAACATATAAACTATGCAAGCGGGCTCAGGAGGGTTACAACAACAACATATAGACTATGTAATGCAACCAATTAAAATATAATAAACATCTTAAAATCAATATCTCAATCTATACTAATAAACTATTGTCGATGGCACGTATAATTCATCTGCTCCCGGAGGCTATCCATGTGTGTGCAGGTAGATGTAACTAAAACTGAGGGGAGATGGGGAGACAAAATCAGTGCAAGATGGAAACAAGGCAGATGGAACAGAGCAGCAGAGGAGGGGGAGGCCAATACAACTTGGATTCTTGCTGCCGCAACCATAGGCCTGGCGGAACATCTCTGTTTTACAGGCCCTGTGGAACTGCATTAAGTCCTGCAGGGCCCGGATCTCACTCAGGAGACTGCTCCATCAGGCCGGTGCCAGAACTGAAAAAGCTAGGTGGACATCTGTCAGGCCAAGGATCACCAGAAGATGTTGATCTATTGAGTGTGGTGGGCATGAGGGGTTCCCAATTCCAGTCAACTTTGGATTTCACTGAGGGGTGGTCTGTGACCAGAGAAAACGTGTGCCTGGGAATGGAGTGGGACTGCTCCTCCAACACTGACCATCCCCTTCCAGTTGCACTGTTGGCAAGGAGAGTCCAGTGCAAGGCCAAGGCCAACACCCCTGGGCAAACCAACTGAGTCCTAGTTCCCAGGGCAACATGTCTTCCCTCCCATGGCTGCTTTCTCCGCCCAGGCCACGCAGTCCTCTCACATCGATCCCTTTTTTGCCTACACTGCTTGCAGGGTGACTGGTTGCAGGGCCCACCATCCATCCCTCTCTCTCCCTGCCCCTGGGTTTTGGTCGTTTGTTGTTGTAGCAGTGCACTAAGGCAGAGGGTCTGACAGTTGTCTCTGCCCCCCCCCCCTGGTCAAGGTGGTTGCCATGGCTGCATGGCCAAGGTCTTCTCCATGGACTTGTCCTGACGTTTGGGTGGTCTTTCCATTTCCTTTTCTTTCCCTCTTTGTCTCTCTGCTCCCTTTGGGCCCCAACTCTCAGCCACCTCCCCTCGTGTAAAGAGTGACTCCCAGCCACCAGCCACCTCCACCTTTCACAGGCAGGGCCCTTTCCAGGCCCAGACTATTGGGCCTCTGTCATGAACATGTGGTGCATGTGGGCAACCCTCAGGTGTGGGACACTGTGGTGTCCCATTCTGTGATGGCCTGGGGTCATCGACAACATGTCATCAACGCACGTTCCTGGTCAGCTGTCGTTGTCAGCATAGCAGGGGGCTCCCGTCTGGAATCACCACGGCCTTTCAGTCCACCTGCTGGCAAGGCGATTACGGGGCATGGCCAAGTCCTTCTGGGGTGTTTGGGTGTGTGTGTGTCAGTCTGCATTCCAAAGGCATCCCTGGCTTCGTTTTGCTTGGGCGGTGTTGGGGGTGCATCACATGGCTGAGAAAGGTCGTCCCACTGGCCAGATGTTTGTGGGACATGGGCTCCAAAACCCAAGGTGACTGCAAGAGGATAGTGGCACACACACAAACAACCCTTCCCCAGAAGAGGATGCTGTTGGCAGTGGGTTCAAGCCAGAGTCCCCCTTAAATTTGTCATCTGTTCTCTCAAAGATGGCCAGTTGCAGCTGCCTGTAAAAAAAAAGGCAAGGTAGGAAGTGGGAACTAAACCTCTGCACAAGCCTTGTCCACAGAGGGAGGGTGGGCCTGGGGAGATGGAGCCACCCACAACTGTGCGGGTCACCCCGGGCAGGGCAGGAGGGTTGGCCCTGCCCTGTAGTCACCTTGACCATGGTGGGAGGGCGGGCCTGGGGACATGCAGCCACCTGCTGTGCGGGTGGCTCCCAGGCCCCAGGCAGGGCGGAAGGGTTGGCCTTGCCGCCTAATCATGTCGTGCATCCGCAGAGGGAGGGTGGGCCCGGGGACATGTGTGGCTGGCTCCGGGGGGGGGGGGGGGGGGGGTTGGCCCTGCCCTGCAATGCCAATGCACTACAGCCCCCTACTATGCAGGTGGCTCCCAGGCCATCTGGTCATTGGAGAGAGGATGGGCCCAGCCAGGGCCCATCAAACGTCCATCCGCAACAGTGCCAGCAACAGTTTTCTCCCGCATGTTGCTTTTTTTGGGGGGAGGAGTGTCCATCTCGGCGAGGTCTGCAGCAGGTTTGATACCTCCCCTCTACTAGGTCCCACAGGGTCCATCCTGTCCATTCTGTGGCCCAGAACCCACATTTGACGACAGTTTCCCAGAAAGCACTTTCCTGGGGGGTGCCTTCTTTGGTGGGCTATAACTTAGGGGGGCATCATGGGGAGGTCCACTGCAATTTTGATGCCTCCAACTTGCACTCCTGAACCTACGCTTGACATCTCCCTGAAAAGCACTTTCCTGGGGGCACCTTGTTTGGGTGTCTGTAACTTGGATGACCCAAGTCCAATCCACACGTAACTTGTAAGGCACATAGAAGGGCACTCTGGGAAGATCTGCTGTGAGTTCGATGCCTGTAGCTTGCACAGAGTCTGTCCTATACACTCCAGAACCCGTGCCTGATATCTCCCTGAAAAGCAGTTTCCTGGGGGCACCTCATTTGGGGGTATGTAACGCAGACCACCAAGTTCAATCATCATCAAACTTGGTGGGCAGGTAGAGGAGCATCAGGTGGAGATGCCCTGCAATTTTGGGGTCTCTAGGACCCCAGGGGGACACACAGCCACATCCTGAACTGGTTCTGTCTGGCTGAGTGGCTGGATTTGGGTTCAAGACACATCCCAAACCCGAACTGGGTTTTCCTGGTTTGTGCCCATCCCTAGTCAGTATTGTCTGTTCTGATTGGCTGCAGCTCTCAGGGATCTTTCACATCACGTGTTACCTGTTCTTTGTTAACTGGTGGTGCCAGGGATTGAACTGGAGACTTTCTACATGCGAAACAGATGTTCTGCCACTGAAGCTCCTTTCTATTGGGTCTATCCAGTTCAGTATTGCCTACTCTGCCTGGCAACAGCTCTGAAGGGTTTCAAGCTTTTACATCAATTACTACCTGACCCCTTTTAACTAGGGATCAAAACTATCTGGGATTTGCAAAGCAGATGCTCTAGCCCTGAGCCACAGCCCCACCCAACTTACATCACTCATACACAAAACCTCCAAACAGCTGCGTGTATCACAAATTATCTTTTATTTTTTTCTGATGTTGTAAACAAAAGCATACAGTACTTTTCAACTACTACAGAATATTTTATCATCTCTCTGTAATACAGTAATAAAAACTTCAGTTTCCAAAGTGCTTTTAGATTAGTTTCCTGATCAGAACTGTGCAAATTTGAATGGGCGGGGGGAGTACAATTTGTGACCTAGGATGTATCATTTGTATCTCCGTGATAAAAAATGTAGTTTAATTAGATTGTTCCTAGTTCAATGGCTGAGGCTGTGATCCTGAAATCACTTTGAAATGTTATCACAGAGAGCCTTTAGCCTTTCACTAACCCCCTTTTCACTCAAGTGCTTATATGCAATACATTCCATTTATTAATACTGCCTTGGTTTAAATTAACAAACAAAAATGAAACAGAGTTCCTTTTCCTTCTGTTTCAGTGTATCTGAGGAAGTGTGCGTGCACACAACAGCTCATGCTCAGAATAAAACTCTGTTGGTCTTAAAGCTGCTACTGGACTCATACTTTGTTCTTTTCCTCCCTTCATTCTTCATATTTTGTATATATTAAATAGACTGAACACCAGAGGGCAGCAAAATACAAAACAGGAAGACGGGAGGAAATTTCACACACCCCCAACCCTGATAAATAGAGATAGATAGATGATAGGTAGATAGATTATAGGTAGATGGTAGGTAGATGGTAGGTAGATGGATGATAGATGGATGATAGATGATACATAGATGGATGATAGATGATAGATAGATGGATGATAGATGGATGATAGATGGATGATAGATGGATGATGGATGATGATGATAGATAGATAGATAGATAGATAGATAGATAGATAGATAGATAGATAGATAGATAGATAGAAGTAAAGGTTCCCTTGCTCGAAAGCCAGTCGAGTCCAACTCTAGGGTTGCGGTGCTCATCTCCGTTTCAAAGCCGAAGAGCCAGCACTGTCCAAAGACGTTTCCGTGGTCATGTGTCCAGCATGACTAGACACCAAGGCGCACGGAACGCTGTTACCTTCCCACCGAAGTGGTACCTATTTATCTACTTGCAATTTCTTGCTTTCGAACTGCTAGGTTGGCAGGAAGATAGATAGATGCATACATTCCTCTTAGCTGGCATAGATCTAGATCATCTCTCTTCTTCCAAATGTGGAGAAATAAAAGGTAGAAATGATTTAAGGATATAATTAATTCTTTTTCTTTGAATGTAGAAAAATATTTTTTTCTGAGGATCTGAGGTAATTAAGGCTGTAGAAACTTAAAAGCAAAGTCAAAGGTTCTGAGGTCTCTTTCCATTTCTCTTGTAAGAAAATAATTTTTATATGTAAGACATCCACCCCCCTCCCAAACACATACACACACAGGTAAAGAACATTGTTTTTCAGAAATGTATGGATAAAAAAATAAGTGTGATTCTTTTTCCATAGGTGAACAAATAAGACAACAGCAACTTCACGCACTCTTATAAGGAGAGAAGAAATTTAGAAAGGGATGCTGCACACCATATTTACCTGAAAGGAAGGTGTCCCTGGAGGTAAGATGATCCCCTGACACAAAGGTTATACACAAAGGTTTTTTTTAAAAAAAATTACTGTACATAACCCAACTTGTAGGTGAATTTAAGACATTCCCCTCTTGATGGCATGGGGGTGGGAATCGTAGCCTTCCTTTCAGGTATCGAGAGTATTTGGTATCTCCCAAATGCTATCAGATTGTACAAAAACAGAGAGGGAGGCTGGAGAAAGGAGGCCATTGGCAAACAAGAGTTTGGAGGACCAAGGGTGATTCAGACATCACTGGGCGATCTGGACCGGAAAGGCATAGTGGACGAGACACACCCACAGCAAATGGTCCACAATACTTTCTGGATCTCCTGGTTTCTGAAAGCATAGATTACCGGGTTGATCATAGAATTGTAGGTGGCAGGGAGAACTGTCATGTAGGTATAGAAAGCAGGGTAGGTGTAATCTCCCAGCAGGCAATAAATGGCAAAGGGCAACCAGCAGGAGGCAAAGGTCCCCAGGATGAGAGCCAAGGTAGAGATGCCTTTCCTGGTGGTGACGTAGTGCGAGGTGGCCAGGAAGTGTCTCTGGAGGGCGATCTGTTGGGCATGCCTGCAGACGATCTTGCAGATCTGCACATAAAGTTGCAACATGATGGCGAAGACCATGAAGAACGAGACGGAGAGGATGATGAGGTTGTTCTTGGTCAAGGGCTTGACGACACTGCAGGCGGAGACTTCCTTCAGGCAGTTCCAGCCCATGACAGGCAAGAGCCCAAAGGAGATGGAGATACCCCAGGTGATGATGAGCATCACGTATGTCCTGGTGGCAGTCCTTTCGGAATAGTAAGTCAGGGCATTGTAAAGGGACAAGTAACGATCAATGGTGATGGCCAATAGGCTACCCACGCTGGCGGTAAATGAGCTTACCAGGAGTCCCACTGTGATGAGATTCACCACCTGGGACTGGATGCAGTAAATGAAGGCAAAATGGAAGATAAGGCCCAGGCCAGCCAAGAGGTCAGCCGTGGCCAAGCTCCCGATCAGCAGGAAAATCGGCGTCCGGAAGGCAGGGGTGCGAAATATTATTGCCACCACAACAGCATTCTCACAGGAAATGATGGTCCCGGAAACACAAAGCACCACATCCCAAGGATTCAGAGGAAGAGGAGGAGCCTCGGAGAGATACAAGGAGTCATCGGTGGCATTGCCGGACAAGAACCACCCTTGCTGTTCATTGGTGATATTGGAGGGCACGTCCTCTTTCATGGTGTCTCCCTGTGACCTGCCACAGGAGAACAACACCCAGTTAGCCTCAGCCAAACCAGGATGGGGCCCAGGAGAGTATGGGTGGATTGGGGGGGGGGGTGGATCTCTGAACTGATTCCAGCTTTTCTAAAGGTAGAATTGAGGCAAAGTGTCCTAAATGATTTTTTACCTACAAAACTTGGTTGTATTGAGACAAGTGCCATAAAGGCTCAGTGGTACAAGGAAAACAATACAGGTAGATTTACACCTGCTTTGCATGTGACTGCTACATGTTTGTTATCAGTGGTCCCCGGTTGGGATATTTCTGGCTCCCATCACCTTTTGTTTGCGCTCTGTTTCAAACAAAAGCTATCAAGATACAGGGTAGTCAACCCACTCACACTGTTATCGCCGGTCAGTGTATATTTCCCCAGGTTACCTCACGATTTCGTAGCTGGCGTGTCAGTCTTTCAGAACGCCCCTCCCTCCAACACACTTAAACCCACTTGCTTTTCCACAGCTGACTAAGGATGAAGCCTGTAAAATGGGGATGGGTACCAGAAAATCTGATTCATCTAATTGCAGTTTAGGTTAACAGGAAGGATGGTTTACGGATCTTTAAAGGTTGTGATCTGCCAGTTAACCCTGGGTGTTTGCTATGGAATGGAGGGTTACAAAAACCATAGCACCGAGGCTTGCTTTCCTTTCTGGTTTTCCAACCATTATCTACAGATTCCCACCCACCCAAATGCTGTGCCTTATAAAAATGCAGGCAGTTATCTGCGGGAAAGGGATCTGAGGTCTTCCTTGAAACGCCCAGTGGGGGAAGCGGAGGGAGGGGAGAATTCCTGCTTCTAAGTCCCTTCCTCTCCCCCCCCCTCCTCCCCCGCAAGGTCTCAGAGCCTGCTTTTGCCCCCCAGTTTGGCTCCCCCTCCACTTGGGGCTTTGATGCAGGGAAGGCTGGTTCTCCTTGGGATGTCAAGGACGTCGAGGGGAGGGGTACTCACCCCGTGTGGTCTTCCAGAAGGGCAGGCTGCACATTCAATCCAGCTGGGTCCTTCGGGTGGGGGGCGGGGGTCTGCCCGCGAGTCCGATCGGGGGGCCGAGGAGTCTGCTCCGCGCTTGGCTCACTGCAGCGGCCTCGGATCCTGCCGCTTCCCAGGGCTGCGGACCTGCAGGCGCGTTTCCAGCTGCGGCGTCGCTGGCTGCGGAGTTATAGTGAAGCCCCCTTTTTGGAGGGTGACTCACGCGTAAGTCTGGGCTCCTCTGCCTTGGTTGGTCTTTGCTCCTGGGTGACGTCAATGGGAGGCGGGAGCCAATCACCTGGCCGGCTGGGAGAAGTGCGCGCAGTGTGCGGCATAGTAATCGGGACTGGAGAATTCCATTCATAAAAAAAGAGAGCGAGAAAGCGCGGCATGGCCGGCGCCTTTGATGGGTAACCGCCAGGTGCCTTCCTCCGCCTGCCCACTCAGCCCTTCCCAAATCCTCTGCGGAGAAAAGGATGGAGGCGGCAGAGGGCTGGCGAAGGAAAAGCCCCCCCTGCTGTGCCTCTGGATTCCCCAAGAAGGACGCGTCATGCGCCAAGGACGCCGTGAAGGTGCTTGGTTGGCTTGATGTGCGGAGTCAGAGACCTATACAGAATGATGGGCCTGGGAGGCAGGGTGGCGGCGGCGATGGAACCCACTGGGGTCAGAAGAGAGCCCTCATGACCTAGTGTAGGCGTTGTAGTGGTTGGAATGTCGGACTAGGATCTGGGAGACTCAGGTGCAAATCCCCACTCTGCCCTAGAAGTTTGCTGGGGTGACCTGGGGCAAGTCTCACACTCTCAGCCTAGCCGACCTCACAGAGCTGATGTGAGGATAAAATGGATGAAAGTAGGATGTTGTAAGCAGGATATAAACGAGGTAAACAAATAACAAGAATTAACGTGCCAAATAACAAAAATTCAGGGTAAGAAACAGCCAGTATTTAAAAGCCCATCTTTTTTTAAAAGCACCTATAACATTACTGATAATCGGTGTGTTGATTGGTAAGTAATCCATCAAGTTTTCACAGCCCAAATACAGGTTCTTGTGAATTGTTTTGCTCTTGGGATTCCCCTCTATCATTTCCCTTTCTGTGAATGCATCTAAGAAGCCCTTTAGTCTGATAAAATCTTTTCCTACCATTCCCTTTAAAAGGTAAAGGCTCCCTTGCTCGAAAGCCAGTCGAATCCGACTCTAGGGTTGCGGTGCTCATCTCCGTTTCAAAGCCGAAGAGCCAGCACTGTCTGAAGACGTTTTCGTGGTCATGTGGCCAGCATGACTAAATGCCAAGGCACACGGAACGCTGTTACCTTCCCACCGAAGTGGTACCTATTGATCTACTTGCAATTTCTTGCTTTCGAACTGCTAGGTTGGCAGGAGCTGGAACTAGAGATGGGAGCTCACTCCGTCATGCTTTACACCCTTTACATCCTGGTTATTCTAGCATCTCACCTGCTCCTCCAATAGATCTTAACTAAGAATGCACTTTTAAAGAGCCAAGTTTTGTTCATATTGAAGCCACATTTGGCTCTAGATCCATTTGCTGCAGACCGCCTAGTGCATTTTCTAAATCTCAGCCTTCCTCCAAGGAGCTCAGGCAGGGTATATGGTTTGTCCTTCCCCCATGAAACGTCATCAGATATCGAGTTTGTATATTATTGTGGAGAGCAGGGAATGTTGCAACTGTTTCCTTTGTTCCCATAGAGTCTTAGACAGAACTCACATGACCACAGCAAACTCAGGATGGCTGAGATACCACTGAAGTCCATGTGACTGTCAATCCATTCCAGATAGTTGGCATAAGTGCATTTACAGGTGAATGATAAGAGGACCAGGTAGGATTTTTTGGTAGGATTTTTGTTGATAAAGAGTTCTTTGAAACGAACAACCACTCAAGATGTTCGTACTTGTTGATGTCATCTTCTGTTTATGACGTCCTGTGTTCTGAAAAACAAAGGAATTAAACATCACGAAGCGTCATCGTTATCAAGTTTACTATTGTCTATTCATTATAGTGTGTGAACTTTGCAGCAATTTTCTATTGTTTATGTATAAGTGCATTTACAACTGCTTTCCCCATTTTAACATGTGCATTTAATACGGCACATTTGGGACAACCTTTTTGTTTTCCAAAGCTGTTCAAGCACATTTAAAACTGCTGGTTTGATTTTCTCACATGCGCACGAATGGTGGAAACAGGACCATAACTTGAGTGCACCCGATGAAGCTGATGGGGAATAGATTCAGGCCAGAAAGAAGGACATACTTCTTTACTCAATGAGTAATTCAATTGTGGAATTTGCTCCCAGTGGACATAGTCATGGGCATGAGCATAGGTGGCTTTAAAAAGGATCAGACAGATTCATGGAAGAGAGATCCATCACGGTCACTAAAGGGAGCCTCCATATCCAGAGGCAGTCAATCTCTGAATGCCTGTGCAGGGAGGCAACATCAGGGAAAGGGCTTGGCCTCTATGCCTTGTTTGTTTACCCTCCAAGACAACTGGTTGGCTGCTGTTTGGAATAGGATGCTGGATTCGATGGAGCACTGGTCTGATCCTGCAGGGCTCTTTTGATATTCTTAGGCCATAGTTCCAACTGGTCCATCTTGCTGACAGGAACTGGGGCAAAACTTTTACAGGACAGGTAGGCTACACCCATCCCATTTTCTGTTACTCACTGCAGTGCTGATGTGGGGAGAAAAGTACCTCTCCACTTTCTTCTTGAAGATGAAAACTAGCTCCTTTTGAGGGCTTTGGCCATACTGTCATGGTGCCATTTAGATTTTAGTGGGTTTTACTGCAACTTACAACATACTTGCAGGTTTGTGTCAGGAAAGGCTTTGAATCGATTTTATTAATTTGGAGGTGATATTATTTGCTTTTTGTTACCAATGCTATCATGGGGTTTTGGACAACTAGTCACTCTGGGCTGATGTGTTATTTGCCCTTTTCAGCTGCTGCTGTCTATTCATCAATACGATTTGCTCCTTGGTTGCACCTTGCTTCATTTGCATTATATTATACTAGGAGTAATGCCCATTGTGGGAAGAAATACAACAAGATCTAGAAGGAAGCTCCAGATGAGTGTCCCGACTGTGGCTGGTGGGGTGGCAGAGGGAAGCGGAAAATGGAGGGAGGCAAGCCATGTTTCTTTCCTTCTGCTTAGCTATAAGGCAGGGCTGTCTCAAGTCATTTTGCTGTCCCAAGTGGGTAGAATGGGAGGACAGCCTTATGGCAACAGAGATGGTTCTCTCCATCTCTGACTTATTTTTTTGGGCAGGATGTTATGCAGTGGCAGCTAAGGTAGAAAAGCACCTCGTCCTGTGCCATGTTTTCTGGGTTCCAAGGGTCTGGAAAGTAGTTCCATAGCTAATTACATGGTTGCCAACTCTGGGTTGGAAAATAACCGGAAGATTTGAGGGGTAGAGCCTGGAGAGGGCAGGATTTTGGGTGGGGAGGGACCTCAGTAGGGTATAATGCCATAGGATCCACTGCCCAAAGCAGCCATTGTCTCCAGGAGAACTCGTCTTGGTCATCTGGACATCAGTTTTAATAGCTGGAGATCTCCAGGTGCCGCCTGGAGGTTGGCTTATGTTAATGTGGGGCTATGCAGTCACAGCTAAGGTAGAAAAGCACCTCCTCCAGTGCCACATTTTCTGGGTTCCAAGGGTCTGGAAAGTGGTTCCATAGCCAATTACATGGTTGCCAACTCTGGGTTGGGAAATACCTGTAGATTTGAGGGGTAGAGCTTGGGGAGGGCAGGATTTTGGGTGGGGAGGGACCTCAGCAGGGTATAATGCCATAGAATCTACTGCCCAAAGCAGCCACTGTCTCCAAGAGAACTGATCTGGGTCATCTGGACATCAGTTTTAATAGCTGAAGCCCTGACTGCTACGTCACATTGGCTGTCATACAGGGGCCATCTCAGCAGGATATAAGGACACAGAGTCCACCATTTTCTCCAGGGGAACTGATCTCTGCCATCTGGAAAGCAG